GGCGGTTCGGGAGCGCTGCCGTTTCCGCGCTTAGCCGGGTTCGCCCTTTGCCGAAACACCCTCCCACGCCCCCGCCTCAACCCGCCAACGGCTGACAGCTCCTTCCGGGCTTCAGCAAGAGCCTCCCCCCACTTTCGCCCGCTACCCATTCAACCTTTCGACGTGAACGTGCCTGGTACGCGAACACAGGCCCCGGCGAAAGCCGCGCGGGCGGTGGGTTTCTTCGCGCTTCCAACGCGCTCCGATCTCCAATCTCCGGTTTATTAGACCAAGTGCCTTGTGCTTGGCTAGGAAATGTGGAACACGACAGGCTCAATCACAAGCAGGCGACCGTCGAGGTCGTGAGCACCGTCATGGACCGACATGCGTGGGTCAATTTCGCCTGCCGCGGCTCGCAGAACCCGCGCGACGCGACGAAGAGCGCGTTCCATCTCTACGACAGTCCACTCCCGCTGAAGGATCTCATGCAAACGGTCGCAGACGGCGCAGAACTTGCGTTGCTCTCGGCCTGCCAGACGGCGACTGGGGACGAGAAGAACCCGGAGGAAGCCGTACACCTTGCGGTGGGTATGCTCGCCGTTGGCTTCAAAGGCGTGATCACGACGATGTGGTCGATAGGCGACGCAGAAGCGCCGATCTTAGTCGAGGCATATTACAAGAAGTTGTCGGAGCTTCAGACAACGGGTGCGGTCGGACAAGGGGCAACGGGCGCGGCGTATGCGCTGCATGAGGCGGTGAAGGCTCTGAGGGAGCGCGCCGGGCGGAAGAATATCTTGAAATAAGCTCCGTTTGTGCACTTTGGCGTGTAGGCTTGTAGGTCATGGACACGCGTTTATGGCTTGTGATGTTCTTTGAAATGATGGTATTTCAGTCTCTGATCATCTAGCGCGTAGTAAGGACGAAGTAGTGGTGGTCCAGAGTCAACTCAATGCGCGGTGCGAGTCCGTAGGCGAGGGGCGGGCTTCGTCGGTCGACGGCCGAAACGCGGTCAGATGACCTGCAACGCCGGTGCCAGCAGCACATATCCTAACCCCGAGACGGTCACACAAACAGCACTGACTGGAGTATTCACTCCAGGTGATCGAAACAGAAGAGAGCATCGAGTCATGTTCGAGACGTAGCAGTACAAAATACAGAGATAGCCGATGAACATGACTCACTTGAGTCCACATGATAGTACGCGCACGCTTCACCGCGCGCCTTCCAGGAGAGGGAGAGGGGGATGGAGCACCTCTCTTTCCCAACCGGCGCGGACGTTCCTCCTCCTCCGGCGTCGCCTCATGCTCTTGCCGCCCGTGTTCGCGCTTACGCGTCGAAGGCACCTTCCCTGCCAACTTCGGAGGCGTCTTCTGCGGCGAACCCGCCCTGTTCATGCGCGCCCTCGCCTTCAGCGGCGAACTCGAGCTGTTCGCGCCCGCCTTCGGAGACATCTTCTGCGGCGAACCCGACTTGTTCGCACGCGCCTCCAGGATGGTCCTGGGCGGACGGGGAGAGCCCACGAACATAAACGGGCTATCTTCGTCCTCCAGCGGGGTGGTGTCATCGCCAAGCTCACTATCGGCAAGTGGGAGGACATTGGGCGACTTTGAATGCAACTGACCGTCCGGCGGGGTAATATCACGCGCCACCCCGGCATCGTCGATATCAATGACAATAGCGGTCGAGTCCTTGCGA